TGCAAGGAAGAATCGACTGCGAAGCAATTCTGCAACAAGTGAATATTAATGTTCAACGGTTCAACCTCGATCACTACGCAACAGTCTTATGCTGAGACTTCCACTTCTTCGAACTAATTATAGCTTAGGGAGCGCTATTTACGGCTTGCAGCGAGTGTTCAACCGAGTAGCGTCGATGTTCGATTTCCACTTGACACGAAATATGCTTCGCCGAAGATTCTCTGCCTTTTTTGCTGACCGAAGGCGCTTGACGCCCAACAGCTAAGCGTAAAATTTTAGACTTATACATTTTTAGTAACTTGACAATGCTTTCCTAGTTATTTTCGTTTGTAATTGTAGTATATGTAGTCTGTTTAATCTGTACTTTTTTTACAACACATCATTGGGACTATTTCTAGTCTGTTGATGCAAACATAACAAATAAACAAATAAACAATGTATTAGATCCTAAGTAACATTGATCGATACTCTTCGCCGAGTTTCTCGTTCGTTTCGTTTCGTCGTATTAGATACCAGATAAAAACTTTTTTCTCTCTCGATCAGTGTGCTGAAAATAGCTGGGAATGTCTTACTTCACATCGCCGTGGGGATACAAAGAGAAAGAATAGAATCTGTCAGCGTTACTTAGCTTGATATGTCTCCCATATTTCACCGCGCAAAATTTTTAACCACCCACCTGTCGGTGGGGTAGATTTAAAAAGTTATGACAAAACAAAAATCGAATTTTTTTAACGAATGCTGTGCCCTTGGTTGGAAAAATTCACTATTTATTTACCATCTACATAAACATTTGGAGAAGCTATGATTTTCAGAAAAAAAATATTTCATTGAAGAAATGCATTTAGACTGAACAGATTGTTCTGAAATTTGGGCCAGAATTTGCTCGTAAGTTCTAATCAAGTTTGGGTAAAATTGGTGCAATCGTTCACGACAAATTCTAAAATTAAAAAAACATTTTTTACAAAAACTGCTCTAAACAACCTAGCTTGTTTGTTCCAAAAAATCTATCATTTTTTTTCTTCATATTGCTTCCATTTCGAAAGAAAGCATGTAGAATAAAAAATGTGGGCGGTAGAGGCACATACCACAGATAAACATACATAACGCATTGAATATTTTTCACTGTAAAAACTTGTCGCTGACTACTACCGCCATCTGTTGAATACACTATCATGGGCATTACATTCTACATATGGCGGCAATGGAATAATCTTGTTTAACTAATTTTATCATTTAATAATTATTAAACAGACACTCTTTACGGCCGTCACTGAGTAAGACTCAACGACCGTGTGTGAGAGGTAGGGTAAGGTGAGGCAAAATGGGTCAGCTAGTACATTTATTAATTTATTTGTTTGTCAAAATCAACAGGTTCTTCTTCTTCTTCTTCTTCTTCTTTGGCTTTATTACGTCCCTACTGGGACTTTACCACCGACAAACCGACATGAATGATCATACAAATTACAAAGAAATTTCTGATCAAAGCACAAAACTGACATCTGCCGCCGTGTTCGCGGAAAATATTTATCCTAGCCACGAACACGCGTACAAAATTTATGGGTTGGTTCGTGTCTAATCTATTTCGGACAAATTATTTTTATCTAGATGAAACATTTCTATGGTTTTGACAGATGGGATTGCTGCACATTTGAATCAGCTGTTATGGATAGAGATGAACTAGCCTTTGGCTAAAAATCTCTTAAATAAAGGATTAAAAAAAAGCTGTTATGAATTTTCGATCAAGAGTTAAGTTTAAGTTTCATGTCACTTTGTCGGTGACTTTACACCGGCCCACAACTTAATGTGCTTTGAGCATTTCCACAGTTGTTGATTAAGCTAAGCCTGTACCATTTTTTCATCAGTATAATTGTGTGGCAATTACAATCATACTTTATTCCCAGGGAAGTCGAGATATTTTTGAACCCCTAAAAATCCTAGCCTCCAGCATGGTCTTGTTATATATCTGTGCCTTTACCAAGTGAGTTAAAGGAGGCCCCATAGGTTGGACAGGTTCAATGCAACCCCAATAATGGTTTACTTTTTCAAACCAGAATTGGGGCTACATTGAACCTGTTGATGTTGACAATAAAAAAAATCAAGTAGATGACCCATCTTACCCCACCTTACTCTGAACATTTTTCAACTACAGAATCTCGAGTGTGTGTATTCTTCTTTGGTGTTATGGTGTTCATCACACTATCCATAGCTAACCGTGTTAGGTCAGACCATTATAGTAGATAGGGGTTTCAGCCGCTAGTTTCGCTACTATATATATTTTAAAATCAAATCTAAACCGCCTTAACTCTTTCCCGCCAGATAAAGTAAGCTATGTCAAGTGGATCTGTGTTGCTTCGAATTCGGAAGCTCACAAAATCCATTACCGACTACCGAAATTAACAGAATTTGAATGTTTAAGGCTTTTAAAAATACCAAAATTAATATCCCCAAGACTTTTTAGAATAGATCAACTACATTTTATCCACAAAGAATTAATGTACATCCCTACCACTATCTACGAAACGTGTAAACTGTGTAGATTTCGAACGAACTGAAAAACTCTCCTAACTCAGACAATAAAACATTTCATACTTCCGCTTTGCAAAGTTTAGACGCGTTTTATTTCGTTTTTACGTTGGTGACGGCAATAATTGAGAAACGTCTCAATTTTCCGTGCTACAACAAGTAGTGAATTTACCGGATGAAACCCCTAATTCTAGACGATCGGACAGTGATCGGAAGCCACTCTATAGGCTTTGCTAACATCTTATCGACACAGTAGATACTAGGGTTGTTAATCGATAACGTCTGCAATCCAAATTCACCATTGCAGACGTTAACGCTGATGTTATCGTCGGTAATCGATTAACAACTCTGGTGGATACATAATTCAGTTTGTTGAGGTAGGACCAGGGTTGCTTACTTCGCTATAAAACATATGTTTCGGAATAATCAAATTATTAGATGTTTAGATGCTTTTTAGCTTTGTTTAATGCCGATCCAACCTAATTCGAGTTGCTGGTGTGCTGGTTCAACAACAGCACGAGCGAATGTGATATGGTTCAAGTGAGTTGATCAAGTCAGTTGAATGGCATGGTTTACACGTTCAATTCGCGTTCAAGCTAGTTGAATTCAACTAACTTGATCAATTGACTTGCCCTGTCTAAACCCAGCTTTATGCTATTTCACTAGCGCTAGCAAAAAAGCTCACTAGCATAATGTAAACATCAGCGTCTACCAGCATGAGATTTCAGGAGCAACTGAAATTCGTGATAGTTGGAGAGTCCACTGGCGATAGCAATTCCGCACAGATCTAAACTGCCGCTCTTCGCATGTCGGTCCCATTTGACAAAAACGTCAAAACTGAGTTTTTCAATGTAAATGGTAGCTAACTATCCATATTTTCATAATACTGGATGAACTCATCAACTTTCTTCTGAAGGTTTGGAAAGACAGTCACATTGGTTGTCCCATTACATAAGAAGCAATGGTACGAAGCAAACTTAAAACGCGATTTTCTCGGCTTGCCGATTTTCACTTTGGGACGGACATGCGAAGAGCGACAGTAAACACTCCATTAGTGCGAGTAAGTTCTAGCAGGTCGAATATAGCGACTACACGCTATTTCAAAACTACCCAAATTTGGGTAGAATCCACCCAGATCGGTCAAAACTGAACCTACCCAAAAATGGGTAAACTGTGTTGGGAGTGACAAGTTGACAAATGAAAAACGTTGATCGGATTCATGTCGATGTTGTTCATTAGTCAACTTGTCACTCCCAACACGGTTTACCCATTTTTGGGTAGGGTCAGTTTTGACCGATCTGGGTGGATTCTACCCAAATTTGGGTAGTTTTGAAATAGCGTGTATAGTCGAACTCGGTCGCGATTTTGGACGTATGACTACGAGTATATCAGAGAATAACAAGAATGAACGAATCTACTTCCAATTGGAATTTTCTATAGGCCACCAAGGTTGAACAAGTTCGTGGTCGCTCGAGGTAGGTTTGACAGTTATTTTTGACAGAAAATCAAAGCAACTTCGAGCGTGTGCGAGCTGCATAATTAAACACAGCTAATGATATTTTGTAGGTGCTTGTAAGTTGCAAGAAACGGTTGTGACCGTCGGGATGTTCTGAGGCATTACATCTCTGATCACGCCTTCCTTCGGAAGGGAAGTAATGCCGTCGGTCTCCGGTGAGTTGATGGGTCGATAGGTAGGGTCCAGATGAGGGAGCTGCCTCCCTGGCTTCGGTAGCATTGGTGCTCAGCACGTAAAACAAGATTGACGGAAAACAAATCAAGGAAAAAAAAGTATTTGTTCGATATTCACTCTGTTGTTGATTGTGACACTCTGAAAGCGATATTGACAGGTTGTATGTGTCATACACATACCTTACAACCTCTTCTCGTAACTTACAAGTACAAAATATCATTATAACATCTAATGATTTCACAATTTCGAAAAACATTTTTATAGCGAAGTGCGTGGAAGCAACCCTGGGTAAGACCTCTGACAAGTTTTGCTTTAGATCCAACCACCAATTTTGTTAGATCTCGAACATGGGATGGTCACGTCGCTTCCTGTATTTTCTAAAAATAAAGCAACTTTATATAGATAAATAAGCATACACAATGTTGTTAATATAGGAGCAATGTTTCCATCAATGAATATGATTAGATTTTCATGAATTCTTAGAGCAAATAGGAGCAAAATGATAACACCCAGCTTACGATGTGATTGTTTTGTTCTACGACGCAGACTAAAAGTTTATGTGAGATTTATCGGAGGCGGTGGCTGAACCGGAACTAATGTTGGGTCCTATTCCGGTAATATAAGATTTTTTCAATCCCACTACTGTTGAACATAAACTTTATACGCATTTTATTTTAATTGCTAAACGTACTGTTAGCGTATACGCGCATGTTGTGCGTTGTAACCCAAAATGACCAAAAGCTCTAGTTTGACTCTAAGGGATATGCGGCATTAGCACTCAACTTACCCCATCCCCATTTTAGGTGAATTGTTCTTGTGCGATTCTTCATCTGGATGCTTCCGTTTCTGTCCTAGTCTCATTCCATGCAGCTGATGTTGTTGAACGTCTATTGTTGGCTGGAAAAGGACAATAATGTTCAGTACGTAGGAAGCAGGAAATTATACAGTAGTTACCTTTTGTTCATGTGACGTCGTATAATGCACCGTAGTGAACGGCGAAGATGGTGGTGGCACGGATGCTGTGATGATTTGATGAGTTGGTCCCGGGTGCGGCGGAGGCACCGGATGTGGTGATGCTTCAATAAGGTGCTGCTGAGGTTGTTGACCTGGTATGCTTGTTATGATCTGCTGCTGTGGTGGCGGTACGGTGTGAAACACTTGCAATCCTTAATGAAAGGAAGATGAAAAATGAATTTGTAGGTACGAACAAACATATTTTCTTCATTCATAGCTAAAACTTCTGTCTGCCCTCAACTCAACTAATTGTTATTAGCATTTAATTTTTTTTTTCAAATTATCATGGTACAGAGCAAACTCAATCCGTGTAAACACGTGGGATGCTCGACAGATTTAATATAATGGAGCACATACCTGGCGGAGGTTGCATTTGCGGGTTGAATGAACTAGTTGTGATTATATGTTGCTGCTGTGGTGGTGGTCGATATTCCGCCGCGCTGATGATCGTTGGTTGACTGATGATCTGAATCTCATTCGGATTACGCATCGCTTGTGTTGCAAACTGTATGTTCTGCATGGAGCTAACCGGGACCTGCTGGATCTGCGGTGACGGATTGTTCTGTCCATTGGGAGGCCAATGATGCGGAGCGTTTACGACAAAGTGTGTGCTACCGTTCATGTGAATTTGTTGAGGCGCTGATTGGTACGATTGTATCGATACCGGAATTTGACTGTAAATTTGCTGAGGAATAGCGTGACTGATGGGGGGATTTGCTTGAGAAGTGATAATTGTATTTCCAACGATGTGCTGCACGGTTGGCGGTGGCACAGACATGATCGGAGGTGGGGGCTGACTCAACGCAATACCTTGCATCGACGACACAGGGATCACAGTGGGTTTCGATATTTGTTGCATAATAGTTCCGGGTGGAGGTGCTTCTTCAAGTTTTACAAGTTCCTGCTTAATTTGAAGTTCACCGGGTTTCTTATCATCAGTTCCATTAACTAGCATCGGAACTTGACTCATGGGAGGTGGTCCGAGTGAGCCTGGTTGTGCCATTGTGGGTTGCATGGTCGTTTGTACGAGTTCCTGGGATATCGAATTTGGTGGCGGATGCGTAATTATAGGTTGTGACTGTACAATAATTTGATTCTGTGGTTGATGAGCTACAGTCTGATGCATGATATTTGGTGGAGGAACCATAAATGCTGTGCTACCTTGCACTGTTATTATCTGCTGCCCTTGTGGTGGCCTCTGAAATTGGTCAAACTGTGGAGGAGGCATAGTAGTTTGAACTATTCCTTGAATCGACTGGGGCTGCGGTTGTATGACGTGTTGGATTGTAACCTGGCCAGGTTGATGTGGTGCACTGCTTGTTTGGATTGAAGGATTCTGTTGGATGTATTGTACCTGGTATGGGGGTGCTTGATTCAGCAGGATTTGTTGTGGAGCTTCTGTCGCATGAGCAAGCTGGATATTGGGTGGTGGTTGAGAAAGATGCGGTGGAGCAGCACTTTTAATTTGCATCATAGTTGGCCTGATCTGCGTTCCAGGTGGAGGATTGCTGACGTTGGTTATGTGAGGCGCTGTTTGGATCTGCGAGATTACAACATTATTTGGTTGTTGATGAATTTGCATCGGAACATGTGACTGAATAATCGTTGGCGGTTGCTGAATAATTTGCGTTGGAGGAGGCTGACTTTGGGGATGCTGAACGAATCCTTGTGGTGGTAACACAGACGGTGGGGGCTGATGAATTATTCCATTCGGTTGAGCCAGGTGCTGTGCACGGATCATAGGGACCATTTGGGGAACTTGAGTCGTCTGGACTAGCGTCGGTTGTTGGATCAATTGGAAGTTTTGTTTTGGAACAATATTTTCCTGAAACAAATTTAGCTCCTCTTGGAGAGTTTCTATGAGATTTTTGGCTAATTGCTTTGCATTTTGCAATCCCTCCAACCTGCAACGAAACACCAAAAGAAATCATTAGATACATCAATGACAAGAAAATGGCTCATTACAACTTACGTAGGATGTTCAATGCACAATTGTAGCGGCTCTGGAGCTTCTTGACCAGTTTGTGGTTCAATGGCAAGCGATCCTCGGCCACGTAAGGAAACCATAGCACCGGTTTCCGAACGAATGTAGTTCAAATTTGTACCGCCATCACCGATTATCCTATGTCGAACGTTGAATGCCATCGGGGCATGATCTAATCCGACAATAAGCTTTGCAACACACATTGTGGTTCCATTCGGAGTCCCAACGATGGTCGGTGGCGGACTACTAACGATTTTAGATATTTGTTGCTGTTGTTGCGCCACCTGTTGCTGTTGGAGTTGTTGTTGCTGTTGGAGTTGTTGTTGCTGTTGGATTTGCTGTTGCTGTTGCTGTTGAAGTTGTTGTTGCTGTTGAAGTTGTTGTTGCTGAAGTTGTTGTTGCTGTTGGAGTTGCTGTTGCTGTTGAATTTGTTGTTGCTGCTGCTGTTGAAGTTGATGTTGTTGTTGCTGCTGCTGTTGATAATCCAACGGCGGTTCAAAGTGAGAGCGAATCATTTTCCGTACGAATGTTTACCACAGGGCTGAACAAAATAATAATAAAAGCCCAGATTAAGTTATGTATAAGAACAACATACCTCGGAACTGACCGCAAACAATTGCTACTCCGAGTTGGTTATAACTGATCTTCAATGATTTTTTGAAGCAAAATCTCACTAATACTAATGCAGTATGGATAGGTTTAAGGCAGTTTTACAGCTATACATTCCTATTATATAATTTTACCATCACCATCACCAAATACATGAAAAATTTCCTACTTTCTTCAGAAATTGTCGCGAAAAATATCAAAACTATGTTGTCCCATCCATAAGAGTCCATAGAGAACAAAACCTTTAACAATGTTTTTATCAGCATGCTGTTTTAACAAATGGGACAATTATAATTGGGTTCATTAGTTTTGAAAAAAATATCGGTTTTCATTCATCTGAAAGAGCTTCGTTTTCTGAGCACGATATTTTTTTAACTGATACTTTTATTTCGATTTTTAATCAAGATTTAAAGCAAAATAACTAAACTTGACAGTAAACTGCCAACCCACTCCAATACAAAGTCCCACCGAGGAGCGCTAAGATGCTGATTTTTAGCTAATGTAATCACATTTATTTAAAATAGTTTCAGTGTAGCAACAGTTATGAAATTTTGGATTTTTGATAACGGAAATACATTGCAACAATGAATCGAGGAGTGGTTTGCGTAATATTTCCTTCTTCCGTTTTCCACGAAATAAATGAATGGCTATTTAGAGATTGGTAGGGTGGGTGAACCAGTAGTGGAGGCAATTTATTTATTAAAAAAATATAAAGATGTACATACAATGATCATACGTCAATCTATAGCTTTCAACCTCTATTATTTTACTAGAAAAAAAAATTACATTGTATGGTGAAGGCCCCTACAGTTGTGATATGTTAGAAGCATTAGGTTCCTATAGTTTTGTATGAAGTCTCTTTTCTAATTAAATTGCATTTACATTACAGGAAGTTTCTGTCTCCTGAGTGACGGATGGAAAATCTAAGAGTGAACTATATTGTTAATGTAGTATATTGCCGCTATTCGCATAACAGCCCTATGTCCTGTGGATTCCCTATCTACATAGGACTGTTATGCGAATAGCGGCAGTATATCTGTTTATAGTCTAAATTGAGTCCTTTATAATCATTTTTGCGTATTTTGCAATGCATCGCTTGACACAAAATCTTACACCACACCCCCATCACGTTTGGAAAGTATAAATATATTGCCCCTAATATGTGACGAAGAAATGAGTGAACCAGACTTCATTTTTAAAGGATTACTTACTTCAATGAACTGTTTAACGTAAAACAACAATTGTACTTTGTTTTATGAGTCAATTATTGACTCTTAAAACAACGTACTAAGTCATACAGAAGTTATGCTGCTTAAAGCATTGGTGGGCGAAAATATTGTTAAAAATATCGATGCGAATATTGATGGCGAAAATATTCATGCCAATATTGACGCAGAATCAAAAGTGGGCCCAAACGATTGCTTTTATTGACAATACTCATATTGCCAAAACATACATTCTATATTGATGGTGTCCCTTCAGTCTTTCTGAAGAAGCATATCGCTAACTTACTGTCCCCGCTACAACATCTGTTCCGATTGTCCATATCGTGTGGCATTTTTCCATCGAGCTGGAAATTTGCGCATATGTTCCCTGTGTATAAAAAGGGTAGTAAACGGAACGTGGATAATTATCATGGAATTAAATCGTTGTGCGCACTCGAAGACTCGAAGTTATTCGAGTTAATCATCATAGAGCCTCTGCTCTCCCATTGCAAGCAGTATCTAAGTGAAGATCAACATGGCTTCACCTCTGGTCGATCTACTTACGGATCTGCTCGATCGATGATTGTCAATTCCTCCAACGTCAGTTTGAAGCGTTTGCCAGGTGGTGCCATTTGAACCGAATGACAGTAAATCCTGCGAAGTGTTCAGTCATCACTTTTACCCGAAAGAAAGAACCAGTTATTTTTCACTATGCTCTCCGGGACACCATTATTGAACGTGTGAGCCATGTAATAGATCTAGGTGTCATCCTGGACTCTCAACTTACATATAAACAACACGTACGTCGTCGACAAGTCGTCAAGGACATTGGGCTTTATCTCCAGAACAGCTAAGAATTTCTCCGACATCCATTGCCTCAAGTCACTGTATTGTTCCCTGGTACGTTCCATTCTAGAATATTGTTATGTGGTTTGGAGTCCGAACTACAACAATGGTACTGAGAGAGTCGAGTCCGTTCAACGCCGCTTTCTGCGATACGCGTTGAGAATGTTACTTTGGAGAGACCCGTTTCATTTGCCCAGCTATGAAAGTCGCTGCCAGCTGATCGACTTGGAGCCTCTTCGCACCAGAAGAGATACTTCAAAAGCCCTGCTTGTCGCGGACACGTTACATGGCAGAATTGATTGCATGGCTCTTGGATCTTGGAGCAAGTAAACATTAACGTTGAATGCTTCGTAACAATGTTATGCTGAGAATACCACTACGTAGGACAAACTATGCAATCAACGGTGCAATAGGCGGACTGCAGCGAGTATTTAACCGAGTTTCATCAGTATTCGATTTTCACCTGCCACGACTAACACTTCGGAGACGTTTCTCTTCATTCTTCTCCAGAAATGGAAACAGTCAATGATCATGTTTTAATGTTTTGTAGTTTTAACTTATGACTTTAATTTTAATTTTAAGTTAAACCATCATTGGGACCATATCGAGTCTATTGATGCTGACAAATAAATAAATAAATAAATATTGAGGTCAATTATGTAATTGTTATTTAGTTTACGATACCGTGTTGGTTGTACCCTTTGTCAGGTCAAGGAAAATTCAATTCATCGATATTGACAATATTTATGTAACCACATCATCAATATTATTATCAATAATTTTAATTCCCCTTCGCACCATATATATTGATACGTGTGAGATTCGCTTTTAGTTTGATTTCATGTTACAATAATTCCTCTCATTTTCACTTTATCTTTGACTATACAGCAGCAGATGGGGCCCCCTTTCCCGGTAACTTTTGTCAAGAAGGTTGTGATTTGACTCGGAATATTCCATCGGATACAACACGTTTAGTGACCCTGTAGTGATGACCCCTCGAAAATATTGACGAAACCTCTACCGTGTGGGTGCAAGCGTATCCATCGCAAAACAAAATTGAGTCTATAGTATGAACATAAGACAAGGACTTTTATTTTATAACAAAATACCAACGCAATCAACATATTACATTTTGGATGACCGTCACATGAAGGCAAGCTCAAGTATGGTAACATAATATTAATTGATAATAATTCATTAATGTCGAACTATGTACCTCGAAACGATAGCCTGTAAAACGTATTCGTTCAGGTACACAAATAGTTCGCGTACAACATGTTAATGCATGCACCCAAGTAGGTGATTCGTGCGGCCATGACGTTGTACGGTATAAAATGCTTATCGATTTATTTACTGTGAAACTCAACTCACCTTCAAATCTCGCTGCACTGCTGCGAGAAGTTTATATCATTCCTCTATTCTTCCGCTACCGTACGTACCCAAATCAGATACACCGTATCATGTATGCTGTGCGCTCCAGGAGTTATTGAATAACCTTTGCTTAATTACATATTCTTCACACTACCCAGCTGAAAGCCCAGCACTCTTCAAAGTTTACAATATACACTTTTTACGTCGACTTCTTTCACTAGACACTATCACTTTCTTGGGTTTTCGACATGTTTGCCACTGTTGTACACCGACTATGAACACTTTCCCAATAACTTAACTCTAAACTTTTTATTGTGATCGGAAAAATTTAGTTTCTTTGCGGAGATCTTTACTTTTTTCAACGACGTCTGCATTCTGCCATTTTGCTTTGTGAATGTATTTTGCAGTTTGATTGTATGACAGTTGACAACTTTTTGACAAAAGTAAGTGACGACCAAAGAACTAGATTACCGAGGTCTAGCAATCGGTTAAGGGATTAGTGACGTTTAACGAACGCACACTATAAAGATTTTCACGACCGGTTGTATTGGTGCGATATGTAAGAGCGTATATCCGAGGAAAATACATAACAAATCTATGTCAAACTCATTTTGACAGATAAAATTTCATACATTTTCTAGGTTGTAAAGTTGTTTATTATTTTCCTAACCCGCTCACTAATGGGTGAAAAAACACTTGGAAATTTTTTCGTCTCATTCCGTCACCGACCATTAGAAATGCAAACAGTTCCGTCCACTTTTTTTTAAAGCAAAAATGGACGATCTCCGGAAAAGGTGGAGAGACTAACGGATAAGTCTATACAGTGTTATCCAATATGATATTATAATATCTCGTGTAATAGTTTTTTTCTCTACACCTGCATTTATTTTCAATGTAAATATTAGAAAGTTTTTTATATCAACGAGTACAACACAGCAAAAAAAGTTGTTGAATATTACATCGAAACTGCTGCAACCAGGTCAATCCATCGGTTGTGTAATATCACATTGTACGATGTACATCGATTTTGCGAACAAAATTACATCCATTGATGTAATATCAGTGCTAACATTTGAAAACGGCGCAAAAGCCATTTGTAAACAAATGGTTTGTGGGCCCTTTACTCGCTACCCGAAGAACGCCCACGCAAACCAACAGCATCGTCAGGAAGGGGAAAATTTCCCCTACCCGATGTTGCTGTTGTGTCGCGTGGGTGTACTTCAAGTAGTGAGTAAAGGGCCCACAAACCATTTGTTTACAAATGGCTTTTGTGCCGTTTTCAAATGTTAGCACTGATATTATATCTGCGTTTTGCTATTACATCATTATTTCATACATCAGCTTGAATTACGTTGATCGATATTACATTTTTTTTTGCTGTGAAATAACCCTGCACTAGCATCCTCCATTTGAAGAATTGGGTATTTTTTTTACCCATTTTACGAAAAACACAATGTAAGAAGATGGGTAAAAAACACTCATTTATTGACAGATACCCTATTTACCCATTAATGAGTAAACCATAGTTAACCATTAAATAAGAAGGGGCACTTTTAGCGGAAATGGGTGTTTTTATACCCATTAATGGGTTTTCGAGAAACACCGTGTATCTATTTTTCATAAATATAAATACCTGATGGTATTACACTGGGGGGGGACGTGTTGTCAAATCAGCCTACTGATCATTCTTGTAAGAAACTGGCTCCAAACGTAAACAATCGCTGTAGGTTTCTTATGGCTTGTTTACCTTTGGAACCAGTTATGCGAGGCATGCGAGGTAGGCGACGATTGTTCGTATTTGACAGCCGCCTCCCCCCCTTGGTATTACAGCCCAGTGACAGGCGCGTAGGCAACATGTTATACCATGACAGCGGGCCCAGCACAGCAAAATGAACGTTTTGAGCCCGGGACATGCTGCCTACTGTCAAACGCTGCTGTTGGTATAGGCATTGCCACTGGCCTGTGGTATTAAAGCCCCTGTATACAGTAAAAGTATGGAAGTTGTTCCAATCGAACCGTCAAAATGCACCGCTTTGCTCAATTGGAACACCTTTTTTCAGTTTTGTGGTGACAGTCGTCCATACTTTTACCACAGACAAACAGACATAACACATTGAATATTTATCACTGTAAAACATCGTCGCTAAAACATTACCACCATCTGTTGAGTACACTGTGGTGGGTAGTACGCTGAACAGATGGCGGTAGTGTAAACGTCAAACTCAAGGGAAATGACTATGAGCGACACAGGTGGCGGTACTACCAACTACGATACTTTTAAAATGACCGTTAAATGCTTGTTCGATGAACAACTTGCGAGTGTTATGTCTGTTTGTCTGTGCTTTTACTGTAGGGCTTTAGATGGTATCAAGAGCAAATTTTCATTACGTCGAATGTAACAAAGGTAAACAAAGTCGAGCTATCAGTGTCAATCGATTCTCCTGCTATTACACTATAAACTGTCCGAATATAGGATCAAATCCCATTTTTAAATTTATTTGCCAGTCAAATTGCTTTTTGACGTAATCACCTTCCGATCAAAATAGTTTTCGATGTTACTTAAGTCACCCAATTTCTATGGAGATGCCGTTTGACTTAAGTAACAGCGCTGAGAAACCCGTGAAAAGTGTACGTTCGTCGTTTCGCTTTCTCATTATTAAAGTGAATAAATCGAACTGTTTGTTGCTAAGATGATTTCGGTAGTCCTAAAATGATGAATGGGCTGCACGTAAGGAGACGTAATTGATAATTCTCCCGAATATCCTGCTAAATACACTTTGACTTAAGTAACAATTGGGTTGTTTAGGGGTATTGAGATAAATTCATATTCGTTATCTGCATTAAAAATGGAACTTAAATTCTAAATTTCATTATTTTTGGTACACTGGAACTATTTTAAATAAATACGATTACATTAGCAAAAATCACCATTTAAGCGCCCCTTGGTGCGACTTTGTATGGGAGCGAGCTGTCAACGAATAGATTTAGTGTCAACGATCAAAAATTTAAGTCTTGATTTAAAAATCTAAATGAATGTCTACAGGATCGATAAAAATATGGTTGTGCTCAGAAAGCGAAGCTCTATCAGATGATGTATAAAAATCGGTAAATTTTTCGAAGTTAAACAACCCAATAGGGGCCACCAAACGACGTATAATAACTTTTGGCTCAAAAACCAGTATTTTTTAGCATGAAAGCTAGCGGTTTGCATTTGTATGATTAAAACCCTGCTAAATATGTGAAACATTGCTATCACTATGAGATTATATGTGTTTACTTGGAAATAGGAATAACTTTTCGGTCATCAAAACAAAACTTTATTTTTCTCGGATTGGTGCGAATGTTACTTACGACATAATGAAAATTTGCTCTTGGTATGTTCATTGGCACCGAATCAAGAGCACGGAAATTTTCATATAGCCATCGATAATTAAACTTTAACCACTTCTCAAATCTACAAGGTAAGAAATAAGAGCCCAAAAGTGAGTTCTTTTCACTCATCTCGGCACAACCCTAATAAAATTGTTATGGTTATTTTGCTCAACGACGTGTTCGGGGATCATCCAAACCATTTGTCGAAAAGTTCTATCATTTGGGTTATCTTTAGTTTATGGTCATTTTTTATTAGGGTTTTTGTTGATAGTGGACGGGAAAAAACTAAGGTTTGAGAGCTTTATTTATCGATGTGCTTCAAAGCTGAAATTCAACACTTAGTCAGAAAAACTGGGTTTTATAAATTGTATTGTACCTACAATTCAGTGTCTGCCTCATAATTCAACGTCCACGTATCAACGGAATCAAGTTAGAACTTACACACTTAATCTAGCTCGGTAAAATCTCCAACAGCCGATTACCTCGGCATTTACTTTTGCTGATATCTCTGCAAAATATCTGTTTGTTAGCTGATATCTCAGCAAATAGTTATTTGTTAGCTGAGTCTCGGCAATTGTTTAAGTGCATCTCAGCAAAATAAATTGCAGAACTACTCGGCTGTTGGAATCTCGGCGAAAAAATTTAAGTGTGTACAAATTGCTTATCATACAAATCAAGCAATTGGATAAGCCGAATAGCAACAAAGAATAGTGGATGCTTACAATATTCTGAACAATAACAACAACATAGGGTTAACTACCCAATTTCCGGCCTATTAAGCACAATCTGCACTTAGTCTTTCTTAAGGTGATTCCCTGTTGCGTCCTCTTTCGTGTAACACTTCGCAATTTCACATGTTAAAATAATAAGGTTTCTGTGAATGTACGTAGCTGAAACTATTACTTGTTGTTTGCTGCGGAGAAGCAAAGGATGCCTGAAATTTTCAGATATATACACCTCGTAGATCATTAGATGTGTGCTCTTGAAATTGCGAGGTGTGATGGAAAAACGGACTCTACGAGGAAACACCTTAATCTAGTGCAGTTTAGCACCAAATGAAATGTTATTATTACTGATGGCTTCCAAATGTATTTACCTTTCCGAATGTACCGTAAGATTCAATAAAGAGAACCCTAATAAAAAATAACCATAAACGAACGATAACCCAAATCATTGAACTATTCCACAAATGGTTTGGATGATACCCAGAACACGTCGTTAAGCAAATTAACCATACAATTTTTATTATGGAAACCAATCGTTGATATATTGTAAAAAGTCTAACACTGCTTCTTGACGCCAAACTCGGCCTACGGATTCTAAACTCGGCCTAACGCATTGAAACGCCATTGAATTCACTTCGGCCTATCGGATGATGATAAAAATTGATTCGGTCGGAGCGTTTCTTTTGTTTTTGGGAATAATAGGTGCAAACATTCATACCACGCTTTCTCATTGAGTTCTTTCGGTAGCTTATTAACTAAAGTATCGTACCAAACGCATAATTGACTTGTTAACTCTGAAATCATGGATTTTATTTGAAGTTTTCTGCTCGATAGGCCCAAATGGGCGATTAGGGGGGGGGGGGGGGTAAATTTCTCCTCGATTTAGCGTGACATAATTAATGCATGGGCCCTTATGCAAAATTCATTACAAATCACTTAAAATCTTATTTTCATTTACTTAATAGGGTAGAGAACTACTTCGGCCGAATCGCCCATTGTGGGCCTATCGAGCAGAAAACTTCAAATAAATCCATGATTTCAGAGTTAACAAGTCAATTATGCGTTTGGTACGATACTTCAGTTAATAAGCTACCGAACGAAGTCAATGAGAACGCGTGGTATAAAAGTTTGCACCCATTATACCCAAAAACAAAAGAAGCGCTCCGACCGAATCAAATTTTATCTTCATCCGATAGGCCGAAGTGAATTCAGTGGCGTTTCAATGCGTTAGGCCGAGTTTAGAATCCGTAGGCCGAGTTTGGCGTCAAGAAGCAGTGTTAGATTTTGGACAATATCTCAACGATTGTTTTCTCTTTATCAAATCTTACGGTACGTACGGAAAGGTAAATAAATTTGGAAGCCATCAGTAATAATAGCATTCCGTTTGGTGCTAAACTGCGTGCGGGTTGTGCTTAATAGGCCGGAAATGGGGTAGTTAACCCTACCTAAAGATCAGTTTGATCGTTTATAGTACGTTCAGACTACAGAGTTATAAGATGTTATAGCGCTATCTTGATGGTGGTTTCTGTGTTGGAATTAGTTGACAACCGTTATAACATGTTATAACTCTCCAGTCTGAACAAGGCATTAGATAACGGCAATATAGGAAAATGCTTTGGGCACTCGAATTTTTTTATGCTTTCCTTGCACATGACGGACATCTTCGCGATAGGATAACATTTTTTCCGCGAACTCGGGGACTGAAACAGCAATTTTTTTCAAAAATTTTGTTCTTTTGGGGAACGTCGTGACATCTTAAAAAGTCCCAGAAAATGAAACTCGTTCCAAAAAATCCATCGCATTTGTTTCCGATTATTTTGATACCTTTATCTCGTAGGAAAGTCATAGTTAAAATAAGCAGACGTTGTGACCGAGAGATGAAAATTGTATGTATAGGTCTAGAGAGTAGAAAGCGAGCAAAGGTCAATTTTGAGGAAGGTATGATATTTAGGAAGTCTGATATTTGACGTTGAGCATCTCAAACTATGTATTTTTCATACAAAACAAATATTGTTGTATGGAAAATATGGTTTGATCGTAAATGAGAATATGGGTGTATGTTTACAAGATATACATGCACCTTTATTCCTGTTTTCGAACAAATCGGATACGTCATACAAAGACAAAAAAAAACTTTGTATGATGTATTCGATTCGTTCGAAAACATGAATGCTATATGTTCAGACTACAGAGTTATAAGTCTATCTTGATAACATTTTTCTTGCCGCTAATTATTATAATATGTTATAACTCCGTAGTCTGAACATAGGATAGGGTGATTGTTATTACATGAGTGTCATCGTTTGCTTATAAATCGCTCCTTAGCTAATGCTTAATATTTACTATATTTTTTTTTTATTAAACGATACAATACATTACAAAGTTAATATGGTATGATTATACATTGATTTATGTGAATAAATTCTCTTCTTTTCAACGGATCAACAAACCTATTGTCTTCCATTCGGGATTTAGCGTTCTGTTTTCCAATCCAATTAGTTTTAGAGTATATATTACACACACTCTACTAGGTAAAAGGATAAAGATATATTAAAAGAGGATTTTGCAACCTCTTGGTACGTGATAGCTTACACTGGTGATTTAATAAAAAGCAAACTTGCAAAGTACGGCTATAACATTTCAGATACTGCAAAAATATTTCCCACTATTACTGATCTTTTTTATTTAGAGAACTGTAGCTTGGAGGCGGTTCCTGGAAGAAAAAGAAAAATAGAAAACGAAATAAGGAGATTGCATGCTTTTGGTTCTGCGTATTGTATCTTACGTAATAGGCTGGAGGCGGAACGTAAGCTGTTTGTGGTTGATTCGGGTCGTAGTAAGCGCTTTGAGCGGCTTCAGCCTCTTTCGAATCTGTAGCGAAACAACGGTTGGTTACATATGCGTCTATTAAGGCAATCTGACGTACAACCCACTTGCTGGAGGTGGTTGGGTAAAACCCATAGCTCCAGCTGGTGCACCAGAGAATCCTGGCCCTCCTGTGAACCCGTATCCTGGGGTACCATTTTGCATCGGGTAACCCGGCTGCTGAGGTGGATATGGAGAACCATTTTGGGGAGGGTATGCTTGCTGCGGATAGCCTTGTTGTGGATAACCTTGTTGTGGATAGCCTTGTTGTGGATAACCTTGCGGCGGTCCAGTTATAATTCCGGGGTACGGAGGCGGACTATCGTGCATGTAGATCGAATTCGGTGCGGGTTGATCAGGAAACACGGTTGTAGATGGGACCCAACCATAGTTGTTTGGATTTGGTGTATAGGCCGGTGGAGGTGCAGCATACCATCCACCACCTGGTGGTGAATAAGGTGGAGGAGGAGCAGTACCTGCGTTACGCTGAGCCATTGCAGCTGCTCTCAACATAGCCTGTGAGGAATAGAATGAGTCGATAAAACATAAAATGGATAAGATAGGTTCAAATAGGGGAAAGTGGACCCAGATTTCCATATGGGTCGTTCATCAGTATTCGTTTCTAGGAGTTACATTTATCTACTTATTTTTTAAACTACCTATACTTATGCGTTACGTCGAGAAAAAGCTGCTTAGATTGCCGAGAATACGAAAATTCCCTAGACAATTTAGTAGTTTAATCCTCCAGGAAAGAATATTTCCGCTAGCATTTTTTTTAGATCGTGAGTTTTAAAGAAGTGAATTATTTCGCACGGATCCACTTTCGCATCAAGTAGAAATTTTTGGCTGAAAATTGATATCAGAACCATTTACCCAGAATCTGGTTAGATACCACTCATCGAAGCAAAACCAGTTTACTCATTTTTGACAGTACCATACAGCATGCAAAAATGTCATTATCACGTTTAAAAACTTGTTTCCAGCAAAAAAAAGCAAACTTAACAATCAAGACAAGTTCCTAAAAAATACTGAGCTTCTGTGAATTTCTCCTAAGGATCCATATTTCTGCAAAATTCAATCAATTCTATAGATCTACGGAAAATTTCGTAGAACCGACATCACTGACTTCCATCTGTTTTGTTTTTATTCAACACAACTGACGCGTCGACAGAACGAGGGAAAAGCATCTAGTGAAAAAATTGCATGAACGAGGGATGCTCCGGTTGTTAAGCAATGCTTCGGAATGTGCATGATAGAGGGTGCTAGCAACCCGTGGAAACTAACGATTTTAAATTGGCTCACTACTTGACTAGCCTATTGTGTGGGATAGCAGGAATGCGGTGTCCTATCCCCCCGCTGCTACCACCGTTTGACAGCTCTCGATTCGACATCCATCAACCAACGTCGTGTCCAACCGACTTCGGGTACGCGCCAACAACGAACGATCGGTACGTGAAACCACATCTTCCTTTCTCGACCTCTTTCTCGTTCCAGCAGTTGTACAAGCAAGTCCATGTTAGCCCCCGCTCTCGAGCAACGGATGGCTGCGCAATTTCCACATATTGGTCCCACGCAAATCGATTAACGTACCCCATACTAGTCGAATTCTAGTACTACACTATGTTTGTTTTGATTTGCTATGAAAGTTTGACAGATAAAATGAGGGGTTCGTGGATTTTCCTATGTTTCGAGGGGTGCATCGATTAGCTTGGGACCGAAGAGAGTACTAGAGCTGAGCCAAAAAGTTGAGCACGTTCCTTCGGGACCTTCTGGTCTTAGAGTTACCTCTATGGCGCTAGTGTGCATGCAAAATACGTTTGATGATATTTTTTGAAGAATTTCCTTCTAAGAGTTATGTCTGTGTGTCTGTGGTGATACTATCACTGACAGACTAGATCTTTGGATCATACAGTGGTTCATCAGAAAGGGGAAGCTTAGTAATCTCCAACGCCTGCCCATGGCGCCATTCTATTGCGGCATGAACCAGCAACGCCGGCCATAAACCTACCGTCTCCAACACTCCACTATACAGCATGAAATTAAGCCCGCCCATCAGCAGCACGGAGCAAAAACTTGCCAAGGGGAGGAAAATATGAATGCAGCCAAGTTATTAATAAAAGAGAGAGAGAGAGAGAGAGAGTCGGGGAAGAGAATTGATCAATGTAGATTAATCTGTTTGAAAAGTAACGCGAGCATTGTTTATAAAAGTCGAGCAGCTTTGTGCGTTCGTCAACCACTGATTTTAAGAAAATGAGGCTATAGGCAATATTGAACATTTAAATAAGTCCTATTTATTTGAAGTTCTAGTTTGAATGGTAAGAAACGTAAGCATGATTTTAATTAATTATGGTATGATCCATCAACCATTTCATTCAAGCAGTTGAAAATGAAAAAAAAAAAACTATCATCATTTACACCATTTAAAAACCCTCAATATCTTGGTGTAATTCTCAAACATCGTTGTTAGAGAGTAAAATACCGCCAAAGTTTCATTTCATCTAAACGGATTAAATTTAATATGAGACGGAGACGTATATTCACGTAACCTTTTGACGTCTCCTATAGTGTGAAAGTCTCTTTTTCACCAATGCTTGGTAGCCAAAACTTAGAGATAGACATTCATCCTGCAGCCGTCAGTTTATTTGCATTGACGACTTTCTCTGAGTCTGGACACTATTTTTACGTGTGTGTGAAAAAAAAACAAAAACTCTTCCCTCCTTCACTTTCTTACGTAAAAACACAAACAAAATCATCACACTTATCAACGCCTATTGATAGAGGCACGGTGCCGCACGGACCTCCCTTAGCTCAGTCGGTAAAGGCGCAGCTACAAAGCAAGACCGTGCTGGAGGTGGCTGGGTTCGATTCTCGATCCGGTCTAGGAATTTTTCGGGTTGGAAAATTTCTCGATTTCCCTGGGCATAATAGAAGTATGATTGGACTTGCCACACAATTATAAGAATGCAAACATGGTACAGGCATCGAACGCTCTCAATTAATAACTGTGGAAGTGCATCTAGAACACTAAGTTGAGAGCACGCAATAAGCTAATATGCGATATGCAATAAGCTTGAAATGCGAAGAAGAAGAAGAAGACGAAGAACGGTGCCGCACAGAGCGCACTGAACAACTTTAGCACGGCACCAAGCTCTTCGGTACGGTGTCTTTTTCACATCGGTGTCGAGCCGGGAAAAGGTACCGAAACCAAGTGTGTGTACGCATCGAACGGAGTGCAATTTTAAGCGCGGCGCGCATTACTGTGCGGTGTTTTGACAAGTTTTAGAATAACTTTAATAAATGTATACTTTATACACTTAGAAATTATCGGCGACTTCTGCACTTTTTACCGAACTGTTATGGAATTATTTTTATCTTTAAAGTTTTACCGAACGTTCAGCAGAGATTTCGGTGAACAATTACCGAACACGACAATAAATTCTGAGTGTGTACACACTTAAATTTTTTCGCCGAGATTCCAACAGCCGAGTAGTAGTAGAGATTCAGTAAAACAATTGCCGAGACTCAGCAAACAAATATGATTTTGCTGATATATCAGCTAACAAACAGATATTTTGCAGAAATATCAGCAAAAGTAAATGCCAAGGTAATCGGCTGTTGAAGATTTTACCGAGCTAGATTATGTGTGTACATTAGAAGCATAGGTGCTATTCGAGATGCATTTGTTTAATATAGGAAAAATTCAAGTGCCATGCTGCAAGTGCGTAGAGTTAAGTACAATGGGATGTTTAACTATTATAGTTTGGGGACGGCCCCAGCGTAGTGGTTAACATTGATCAATCTCACGCCAAAGTCACGAGTTCAAATCGCTGTAAATTCATTTTTTGTTAACTTATCTAAACCTAAATCGTCCTCAACCTCATGGTTATAGAGCATGTCATGGTATAATTTGTAGTTTCCTACCGTTTTAAAAATTAAACGATTTTACCAGTTACGTGCCGTTTCGATGCCTTCGACAGAAAATTTTATCTTTTAGAATCTTGTTTTTTTCTACTGTACTGTTTGATAAATGTCAACGCACAACGTACAATAAACCACAATAACCAGTTTATTGTAACGTACACAATATTGAGGATGTGCCTATAAAATATTTGGCATTTTTCATGGTGTAAGCTGCGGATGTTTCTCAAATATCGTTTTGGAATAGAAACAGCCAAAATATGCAACACCCGAGCTACCATAGGCACGTTACGAACACTATGTATTCGACACACTTAAAACAACTCAACAGTTTCTTACTCCTTTACATGCTTTCGTTGACATTGACACTCTGAAGCAAGCTCAAGTTCACTGTCCACTACCTAGATACTTGTTTACCTACACACTTAGTTTTTTCTACCGAGCAAGGCTGTGCAAATCTCGGCAACAAAAAGTTTTACTGAGATTTCATTTGTTTTCTGATATTCAGCTAAGCATTATCCGAGACTCAGCAATCAAATGTCACAATCAAACTTATTTTTGCCGAGATTTGCACAGCCGAGCTCGGTAGAAAAAAAACTAAGTGTGTAATATCGTCGATCGGTTACTCTAATTTTTACACACCAATTACAACACTGGGTCCAACTCACTTGTCCGTAGTCGATAGCTCCACCGTGTTTGAAGACCAGCTTAAATTTGGATTCTCCAGTCCAATTACCATTTTCTTGCGCTCGCACCTTGCCTTTGATGTAGTTCGCTCCGAAGACTGGTTGCTCGAGTTGGACCTAATAGAGACAAATGCACAAAAGTGAGAAGATCAATCGAAAATGATTTTTGTGCTAGCCTTCAGATTCGCCTTGTGCATATGATATGAAGACATAATGGACGAGCGAAACTTACACTATACGAAATACCACTCTGTCACCAAAGAGGTGTGTCATACGCACATGCGAAGCCGAAGAAACAGACGTGGTTGGCGAACAAAACAAAACAACACGAAATAGATTGATACTTACATCATTTAGTGTGACGAAGGGAAAACTAAATGATAGCATCGGATCGCTAGCCTTCTTGTTGTTGAAAATCATGCGATGCGTTGTGAGATAAACGCGGCCTTGCTTGGTGCCTTTGAAGGCGGGGTCGTCCTGGCCGGAAAACTCCATTGTTACATTATCGCAGAAGATGAGAATGCTGAAGGAAAAACGGATATAATTTGATGTATTTCTACGAACATATGAAGTACTGTTTGATCATAGCAAAGCGAAGAACAAAATTTTCACATTCACTATTGAGCAGTCCCACGTCAAACTTTGCATAATTGTTTTATTATGGTCAATCATTCACATTTTTGCTGAAATTCAGTCATTTTGAAACTCGCAAAAAACTTCAAAGTTGCGTATTCGTTATTTTTCAACAAATCATAACTGGAAAACTTCACTTCCAATAGAAATGACGTCTGACACAAAGTTGTAGAAAAAAAAATCCTTTTCTGAAAAAAATATACTAGGTAAAAAAGATAATGTGATTTTGGGTTATTAACAAAAGTATTTAAAACTTAAATAACAAAATACATAGGAGTAAGAGGAGCATAGTAAACATCCGGCACTTCAGTCAGAAACCTCTAATTGTTCGAAACAAATTAATTGGTAGTAGGGTCAAGATCACCATTGCAACGAATAATGACCAATTATCAGTGCTGTAAATTCTCAAAATCATTTGAGCATTTTTGATGAAAATGAGAAAAGTAGCTTTTCGCTATCAAAGGGGACCTCCTCCGAATGGGTGATATCAGTTGCTTAGTCATTTGACGAAGGCATGGATCATTCTCATTTGAGAAACGCTATATATCATTCAATTTTTTTTCTTCTTTGGTTTGTTTTTTCCGTCGATCTTGTTTTCCGTGCTGAGCACCAATGCTACCGACGTGCCAGGAAGGCAGCTCCCACACCTGGACCCTACCTATCGACCCATCAACTCATGAACCGGGGACCAACGGCTTTACTTCCCATCCGAAGGAAGGCGTGATCAGAGATGTTATGCCTCAGAACATCCCGGCGGCGCCGACTGGGATTGAACCCAGACCTTCTGGGGTGAGAGGTAATCACGCTTACCACTACACCACCGGCGCCGTTATATATCATTCAATTGAGTGTAACCTACACACAAACGGAGCTCTGGTCGACATTCCGGCAAAAAAGCCAAGCCAACCCGACACCAACCTGACTTCTATAAAACCCCATCCCGATGTTGACCCGACATTGACCCGACATAAACTCAAAATTGACCCGACAACAACACGACATTGAGTCGACATCGACCTTAAAATAACCTTACATTGATCCGACATCGGGTCGACTTGCCTGTTCGGGACCATTTTGCTGGATTTCTTCCATACTCCACTGTCGTATATCAAATGATACTGAGTGACTCAATTGACAGTGACAATGAGCTTCGAATGAAAAAGGGGCGCTTCAAATTATGGTCATGTGAGAATTCGTTTACACAGAATTGATTGAATGGTTGTATTGGTTCATCTTCAATCGATGATATGAAAATTTACAGCACTGCCAATTATATTGTTTCGAACCATAAGAAATCCAAGGCTAAAGGATAGGAAGCTCACTATGCCCCTTAGTGAAAATTTCAAGTTGGACACTTAAAAATGTATTTTTTTTTAAACTATGAAAATCATTTTTCGCCCACAAACTGTTGTTTGAGGATTAATATAAAAAAAATATTGAAGAATTATTAAGGAAATATTGGCACTCGTGGAAAATAGAAGAACTTTGAAAGTGATGATGGTTTCAAAATTTTCCACTGGGAGGTATACGAATGCAATCTTAAAATGCTTTTATTTGCAACAGGAGCATTTTATTTAATTAAAAACTGACATCTATGTATACACCTAAAAATCTGAAAAGATATTATTTTTTCTATATTATATGTCTATTGAGTAATCCTTAAGTTTTCTACTAACGTAGCATTAACCAGATTAAAATAAAATCGAAGACAACAAATCAAGAAGACTGGCAACTCTTTCATTTTCTCATACGAACGCGGGGGCGACCCCGGCGTAGTGGTTAACATCCATACCTCTCACGCCAAAGTCACGAGTTCAAATCTCACCCCCGGACAAGTCACGAATGACCCAAGAGTGTTAAAATGACTATAATAAAAAAAAAAAATCATATGAACGCTATGAGACAGGTACAATCGCGTCATCTGCCGCTCAAAGGTAAATGCTTCGAACGAATTTGATAGCAAAGAGTACATCCTCAGAAGAAGGGTTTGTGTATTTGCTCATTTTTCTATGCGTTGCTTCCACCTTCACTCAAGCGCAGCGTCATTGTATCTGTCGCTTGGATTATGGCAATGATTTGTTGTCTTCGATAAAATGCTTCATTTGCAAAATAAAAGCATTTTAAGATTGCACTCGTATACCTCACCGTGTAAAACTTTGAAACCATCATCACACTCATAGTTCTTATATTCTCCACGAGTGCCAACTTTGATTTGTCAATACGATGGTCCCACTACCCCCCAGTGTGCCTAATTTTTGACAACTTTGTGAAAAAAGTTAGTTTGAAATAAGACCTAAAAAAAAGATCAAGTTATACATAAGTAAACAGTGACCTGATAAGCTAACACTGTAACGCGAGACTCATGGTGGTAAGCTCCAACTCGGATTAACTTGTAATATCGTCCCTGTTTGGATGATCTACAAAATGTTTGCTTAGAGTTGTGTTGAAGTGGAATAGCGGCGGTGTGGCATCCACCAACAAGTTGAAAAATTGAGTCGAGGTCATGTGGCGTGCAGCTGGGGTCTACATGATTTTGCAACGTACTAATGAATGCCACATCGCCGATCACCGCCAGAACAGTGAGCACCCAGTATAAACTATCTAAAAATGCAAAGTTAATTTTGAACAGAATTTCTTTTGTCATCACTCTAGCTTTATAATCATTAGCCATAACCGTGTTTATTTAGCATTGCTGATTTAGCTGATAACATCGTCATCTTATGTGTATGTATGCCTGTGTATGCATGTTTTGGATGACTAGCAATGGTAATCTGAATTGCATTTCACAATTTTTGTGATTCTGAAGTTCACATTACCATTGTTTTATTGGGAAAATGAATTGACGAAAACAATTGTTTTTCTTTTCTTTTTGTTTGTTGAAAGACCAAAATTTGAAATCAATGCTTTTTACAAGGATATATTGACTATATTGTCCATTGCAATTTATTAGTCTAAGTTCAAGAAAAAACTACTTACCCTTCTCCTGCATGGATCAACACCCCGTTATTTGCATGCGCCGTGTTCAGAGACATTTTCCGCAGAGAATTGGAATCGAATCACAACTTAAAATGGGGATTTCACTGTTTTGTCCGACTATTTTCCGATCTTGTTATCAATTTTTCAAGGAATGAGTCACAAGCAGCGTTGCCAGAACTACCGAGAAATCGGTATTGTTTCAGATTTCCCTAATAAAATTGTTATGGTTATTTTGCTTAACGACGTGTTCTGGGTATCTTCCAAACCATTAGTGGAAAAGTTCAATTATTTGGGTTATCGTTCGTTTATGGTTATTTTTTATTAGGGTTTTGAGCTCCATACCGATTATTAATTGAGGATCGATTGACTGTTTTTCTTTCCGAAAAATATCGTTTTAAATTTAACACAGCGTTTTACATTTTACACAATTATTTCAATCGGCTGAATTACAATATTACAAATATCAAATTCAAAAGATAAGCAGAATAACAAAAATAACTTCTTTTGGTTGTCAGGAAGCTGTGAAATAAATAAAATAAAACAGCAGTAAACATACATTCCCTGATAAAAATTTTAGTTTATGGTATTTTTTTAAGATTTGTCCAACAGTCAGCTAAACTTATTGTCCAACTGTCAATCAACCCATCAACCCATCAATCAACCCATTCTGTATTGCGCCCTCCTAACAGGGATTCTCTGTCCCTAAAATATATGCACACTCCACCACCGCTAATTTTGGTAAATAAATCGAAATACCGATTTCTGAGAAACGGCCCTAATAAAAAATAACCATAAACGAACGATAACCCAAATCATTGAACTATTCCACAAATGGTTTGGATGATACCCAGAACACGTCGTTGCAAATTAACCATACAATTTTTATTAGGGGGATAATACTGATTTTATAGAAAAAGTTCTGGCAACTTTGGTCAGAAGCCACACAATCCGTTTTTATTATGATGTTTTGAATCAGACAATAATATGCACAGTAAAAGAGAAATAGTATTTTTTGGTTAAAAACTCGAACGTCATTCGCGAAGAAAATGTACACGGAAAGAAAAAAGTTCCCAGCGGCAGTATACTTTTACCCGAGGGGCGATTCACTTGTGTATTTTCGATACAGGCTTACGTATTGATGAACGTATTGAAGTATTTTTTATCGAATAAACGTGTATTTTGCGTATTAATGTATTATTTTGCACTTTTTGAATATATGTAATTTTCTGTGTATTAGAAAAATAAAAGTGTATTTTTATGCATTAATGTATTGAAAATCAGTTATAAGTGTATTCTGTCAATTCAGTGTTTATGTTTACCACTCGAACCGATAATCAAACGGATCAAACTCACAATGTTGACGTTTTGTTTGACAAATGCACAGCACACGCTAACTTTGAAATACCCACTGATGAGTAGAATTTCACCCAATTTAAAGAAAAGAGGCTTAACTCATAAACTCATTAGGGGCTTGACATTAGTTACGTAGACAGATTTTTGGGATTCTACGATACCTACGTTGACAATTGTCCATACAAAACTTTAAAAATGTGTATGGGCCGTGGATAATTGCCAACTAACCCCTCCCCCCCCCATAGTTCATGAACAGCCCCTTACCTCGCTCATTACGCATAAATAAGCATCTGTTACCAAGTCTGTTACGCCTTCGTTACTTATTTTTGGGTCACAACTACTCATTAATGTTTTTTTATTTAATAAACGAACTAAGGCACTTTTCTTAAAAATGGGTGAAATCCTATTCATTAATGCATTGTTTTGTGATTCGAGCTCGGATTAAAATATAAAATAATAAATTTACGCATTTTGTCCGAATTCAGCATTTTGATTGTACATATTTCGAATTTTTCGTGCAAATGACGAATTATCGTGTATTTTTATTATTCGTCGAATATTTGTGTATTTTTCCGAATTTTGTATTTTTTTGCATTTTTTTGAGTAATGACGAGTTATGATGAATTTTTGTGTATTTTTTTCATTCACGTATTTTTGATTCATTTTTGAGAGCAGTGAATTGCCCCTCGCTTTTACCTACCCGTATAAACGCGAAACATAAATTGACCTTACCTAAAATGGTTAAAAATTGTTTATAATCCCTGCTAAACTTTAACTGAAATGGTTATGGAACCTTACATGAACGTTTGTGTGATAAAGTTTTAACCTTATGTATTATGGTTTTTAGGAAGCGGACCTTAAAAATAATGGGTCGTTAAGAACCATTACCATTCCAAATTCTTGTTTTCTCCATACATTTTCGGAAAGAGAACTATATTAGAACCTTTTAACTTATGGTTTGAGAACTTTAATGGTAATGATTATGGTAGTCAGTTAGGTCCACTAATGGTTTTGTAACATCGATCAACTTTATGTGGAATATATCGCGAATTGGTTGCCTGTAATTTACTGATTACCAATTCACGATATATTCCACGTAAAGTTGAGTGATAATACAAAACCATTAATGGACCTTACTGACTACCATAACCATTACCATTAATGTTCTCAAATCATAAGTAAAAACGTTCTTATATAGTTCTCTTTCTGAAAATGTATGGAGAAAACAAGAATTTGGAATGGTAATGGTTCTTAACAACCCATTATTTGTAAAGTCCAGTTCCAAAAAACCATAATACATAAGGTTGAAACTTTATCATTAAACGTTCATGTAAAGTTCCATAACCATTTCAGTTAAAGTTTAGCAGGGATTATAAACAATTTTTAACCATTTTAGGTAAGGTCAATTTATGGTTCGCGTTTATGCGGGTATTCAAGACTTATTTGCGAGGGGGCGACATATCTAAATCTCAATTCTAGATGCTCGAAAAATCTCACACTAGCGATCAATCTTCTAAAAATCTTCTTTCATTTCTCGCATCTACTGGCATCGCGCATCATCTTTTTGCAGGAAATCTCCAAAATCGTGATAAATCTTCTTTCTATCTACTCAGCGTAAGCGCAGCTAGCCAAAGCAAAACACAATATTTCCTGCATCGTAGATAAAGTCGTCCCCCTTGCTTATTCGTCTCGTTTTTTCCTTCTATATGGTGGCAGAGTTGCGACCTATCACAATCACGATCGTCAAACAGCTGATTGTAGTAACGCTTTGTACATTCCTATCAATGGGCTCGTCGAAGCTCTTTCCATGACCATCCATCAAGTTGACGAAAGAAGTAAAAAGCAACTGGTGAATGTCGTCCCAACAAACAATTTGAGCTGATTAAAGGCTGCATAAGCCATTTTTTAGTCGAAGAAGTATATTTTTGCCTGAATAAGCTCTTATTCCGCTTCCAATGTTTGTTGGGGTCTTCGCTTGTGATCCATCACCGCACAGCAAAAAAATAATTTTGATATCACGTCAAACCGACGTCATTCCCGACAATTACGACACTCATCTGTGCTCGTTTTGAATCAGTTGCTGCTTTGCTTGCATATGTGAGTAAGTTGGTGAGCTTCCATTTATTGTTGCCTGCTTTGTTTGTAACTCACACAGTCGCGCCTGCTGAGACGAACTTGGAATGCGTACACAGAAAAAAAGTTGTTGAATATTACATCTAAACTGCTGCAACCAGGTCAATCCATCGGTTGTGTAATATAACGTTGTAACATAGAGGTAACTTTAAGACTAGTGGGTCCCGAAGAAACGTGCTAAACTTTTTGGCTCAGCTCTGGTACTATCTTCGGTCCCAAGCTAATCGATTCACCCATCGAAACAATCGAAACATAGGAAAAACCAATAACCCCTCATTTTATCTGTCAAACTTTCATAGCGAATCAAAACAAACATCGTGTAGTACTAGAATTTCGACTAGAATGGGATACGTTAATCGATTTGCTTGGGACCAATAGGCTAGTCAAGTAGTGAGCCAATTTAAAATCGTTAGTTTCGTATTGATTGTTGGTAATACCACAGACAAACAGCCATAACACTCACAAGTTGTTCATCGAACAAGCATTTAACGGTCAATTTAAAAGTATCGTAGTTGGTAGTACCGCCACCTGTGGCGCGCATAGTCAATATCCTTGCGTTTGACGTTTACACACTACCGCCATCTGTTCAGCGTACTACCCACCACAGTGTACTCAACAGATGGCGGTAATGTTTTAGCGACGATGTTTTACAGTGAGAAATATTCAATGTGTTATGTCTGTTTGTCTGTGGTAATACCATAGAGGTAACTCTAAGACTAGAAGGTCCCGAAATAAGGTGCTCAACTTTTTGGCTCAGCTCTGGAACTCTCTTCGGTCCCAAGCTAATCGATTCACCCCTCGAAACATAGGAAAAACCAATAACCCCTCATTTTATCTGTCAAACTTTCATAGCACATCAAAACAAACATTGCGTAGTACTAGAATTTCGACTAGAATGGGGTACGTTCATCGATTTGCTTGAGACCAATAGGCTCAAGTAGTGAGCCAATTTAAAATCGATAGTTTCGTATTGATTGTTGGTAATACCGTGCCTTTACTGGCTAGGCTATGAGGCCCCTGAGTTCCTCTGGTATATTTAATTAGAGGATGTTCTTGAATATACAGTCAAACAGCACACAATCTTGTGAAAAACTTCAATGACAGTTGTCCAGCAGTGCTCCCATTTTATTTACAACAGTCCAATGCGTGGTGATTATAAAAAGTCATCATCTGATTTGCCGGTTCAAATTTAGCATAGAAAGAAACATGTGGAGTGTATTAGAGTGAAATTAATCATGTCGAAAAAAAAGATGCCCGACTGGGAGGGACTCGAACCACGAACGTGGTGATTAGCAGAGCTGTGCTTTCTCCACTGCTCTCTTCATGCTTTGTGATATGGATAGGCTAAAAGCAAACAAGAAGCGCTCATTCTCTCGCATACTCGACTACGTTTGCTATTTCTGCTGGAGAGAATCGAGGCAAGTGTGTGCGTCGTTCTACCATGTTATACATAAAAATTAAGGCAAATGCTTGCTTGTGTAGGTGAAAGCACGGAATAAAAAGAAGATTAAAAACCATTGCACAATGGTCCAGAATGCAGATTTAGGTGGAATTATATGTTTTGAGCCTGAAATTGCAACTTTAGACTAAAAGTCTCATCTACAAAGTTGTTTCTTATAGTTAGGC